TGCTTTTGCTATGTGTCAATCCTTGTGCTGATGCCGATAGCACATCCTCCTTTTCCTTTTTTGTTTTTAGATAGGGTCTTGCTCTGTTGCCCAGACTGGAGAACAGTGGTGTCATCATAGCTCACTGTAACCTCAAACTTCTAGGCTCAAGGGATCCTCCTGCCTCAGCCTCCCAAATAGCTGTGACTACAGGTGCCACCACACCCAGCCCTCCTTTTCCTTTTTAAGGTTGATTGAGATATACATTGACTTTTAGTTTTCCATACACATTTCGAGTTTCCTCCTAAAAATCCAAGTAGAACTTTGGTAGGATTGCAGTGAATTTATAGGTTAAATTGGGGAAAATTTACATCTGCAAAGTATTAAGTTGGTCTATCCAAGAGCAAGAAATATATCTCCATTGATTGCGACAATCTTCTGTGTCCTTTATTATAACAGAATTTCAAAGTGTTCGCAGATGTCTTGAGTGCTTTTTGTTATTTTAATTCCCAAATATCCTATAGTTTTTGTTGATATTGTGGAGGATCTTTTATTTTTTGTTACATTATTTGGTTGTTCATTGCTGGTGCAATAAATCTATTATGCCTTTTTTTTTTTTTTTTTTGAACAGAGTCTCACTTTGTTGCCAGGCCAGAGTGTTGCCATGACACAGCCTAGCTACAGCAACCTCGAATCCTCCTGGCTCAGCAATCCTTTCTGCTTACCTCCCGAGTAGCTGGACTAACAGAGCAATGCACACATGCACTATAAATTTATGTATATAATTTAGTTGAGTCAATTAAGTTCTATTATTAATAGAGGAAACAGGGATCCATCGCATCAGGTGCGTTTGAACTCCTGAACATGAGCAAATCACAGCCTAGCCATCAGCATCCCAGAGTGCCTATTGATCCTTTTTTCTAATTTCTTAAGACGAATGCTTTTATCTTTTTTAATAACAAGAAAGTATTTAAGGCTATACATTTTTTTCTGAGTACAATTTGAATTTGCCCATTCAGTTTCGGGATGAAGTATTTACTTTTCAGTGCTTTATAAATAATCTGTAATTTCCAGTTAACATCATTTTTTTTTTTTTTTTTTGAGCGAGATCTCACTTGTTTGCCAGGCTAGAGTGGAGTGCGTGGCGTCAAGCCTAGCTTCACAGAACTCAAACTCCTGGCTGGGAGTGAATCTTCCTGCCTCAGCCTCCGGGTATCAGGACTACAGCATCGCACCGATGCCCGTAATTTTTTTTATAAGTTATAATCAGTGGCATTTAATTTCTTTCATTTATAGTAGAACGGGTCTCGTCTCTTCGCTCCAGGCTGGTTTTGAACTCGTGACCTTTGAGCAATCCGCCCGCTGCCTCCCAAGAGCATAGGATTAACAGGCGTGAGCCACAGCGCCGGACCTTAACACATTTTTATTAAAGGTTCTCTTGCTGGGCATCCATAGGCTCATGCCTTAATCCTAGCCTCTGGAGGCTAGGTGGGAGATCGTTTGAGCCCAGGAGTTCAAGACTAGCCTGACAAAAGCAAGGCCCCCTCTCTAAACAACCAGAAAAATTTGACCAGCGCATGGTGCTGTGCTGTTCCCCATCTACTTGGGAGGCTGAGGCAGAAGGATCACATCTTTTCATACAATTGCAGTAGGAATATCTTAGGCAGTGGAGCAGGTCTGGCAGGTTTTGTGGCAAAGGTTAACCCAGCTCACTCATGCTGCCTGGAGAGTCAGGGTCTCATAAACTGGAATCAGAGGCAGGTACTTCAGTCCCAAAGACCTTGCAATTCCCCAGTGATACAAAGTGCCTCCACTCCTACATGGAAATGGGCAATAATGGAACACACACATTGCCTTTTTTTTTTTTTTGAGACAAGTCTGCTTTGTTGCTTAGCTAGAGTTGTGCAGTCAACGCCTAGCTCCAGCAACCTCATACTCCTGGCTCAACCAACCTGCTCGCCTCAGATCCTCCCAACAGAAGTCTGATTCACAGGATGCACACCATGCCTGGCATAATTTTTCTATCTAATATAGTGGAGTTAATACTTCTTTCTACTTATAGTAGAGACGGGTCATCTTGCTCAGCCTGTGTTTGAACTCCTACCTCGGAGCACCCATCACCCCTCGCCTCCCAGATTCTAGATTATAGGCATGAACCACCACGCCTGGCCAACCTTTTAATGCTTGTGAATATACATAGAAAACCTGAGGTAACCTTAAGAACTGGTGGGGGAAAAAAAAATCAACCTAACATGACAAACCAGTAGGACTGGCAGCACAGGACTATACGAAACAACATAATACACACTAAAGCAAAGCATCATTTTACAGGAGAAACACCAAATCTCAGTCCCTGACTCACATCCTCAGTTCTGGGTCAAGACCTAGTGATGGAAGTCAAGGTCAAGGGTCAACCCAAGGAGTTCACAATACCAAAGCATCAATGGAAATGCCACAAAATAAACAGACACAGAGGAAAATGTACAAGGGCTGTTGTGGTCATCAGCACCTGCCTCCACTGCCTGGGGCATCCTTTTTCCTTACAGCAAAGGCTACCCAAAGTCTCTGGGATTTTTAATTAATAACCTCATACTCTAGCAATAGTCAGACCAGAATTTACTAAATATCCTACTCCTGATTCCCACACATGGGCCAGATCTTGGCTGTGCCATGGGTCACCACCTCATCTACTGTGACAGCTGCCTGCCAGGGAGGGTCAGTCCTTGGGCAGGTCCTGGAGTATAAGTTTCAAGACAGATCAGGGCCCTTCTCAACAACCCCTCCCCACGTCTCTGGTCGGCAAGTCCAATCAGGCTACAAATGTAGTTCAGGAAGAGCAAACTATCCAAACTGCTGTGAACGCTACTGGCTCAATGAGTAGCAAATAACATCTACACCTCAAAGTCAAAATGTGCAATTTCCCATTTGATTTAGTCAGATGGATGCACTGGGCCAGCCATGGAACTGTGCTTCCTCCTGGCAGTGTCTGAATTCCTAGAAACCTGGAGGGGCAGGAGAGTGTGGCCATGGCAGGTGCTTATGACCTATTTCAGGTGGTGCCCAAGAATACAGGCTTTGGGGCCACACGGCCCAGTTCTGCCACTCGGCAGCCTCGCTGTAACTCAGCCTTATCTGTAAAATGAGTTACTAATACTACTTACTTCCCTGAGTTGATGTGAGGATTAAATAAGAAAACTAATTTATCACAGTCCCTGGCACATGGTTAGGTAAAAAGGTAAATGTTGACAAGATCACAATTTTTATTCAGCTCATAAGCAATATTATCACAATAAATTCATTCCAGTTTTTTTGTAAGCCAAAAAACTATTTGTGGTTAGAGAGGAGTGTGCTTAGGGAGGAGTATCACCTTAAGAGTCTCAATTTCCAATCAGTGTATCAAAATTCTAAAACTAGTTAAGACTAAGCTAGTTTGTGGACAACAGACTGGAAAATAAGGCCTGAGCCACTGGCCAAGTCAATGCAAGGAGAAAAGACCAGTCAACTTCTAAGAGGCAATTTAAATAAACAGGGAAACTGGAATACTTTTATTAGTAAAAAGGATGCTATAAACTAATAGAAAGTCGAATTCTTAAATAATTCATTACTCTTAACTTTTCTTTCACTTCTTTCTTGCCCTGATTTTTATATACAAAGCACCATTCTGTTATAGCTTATCACAAATGATAACTGGTCATTCCCTTCTGAGTGTTTGCATATATGGGCTCTAGCTTATTAATCAGAGTCCACAGCACTTTCAGCTACCAGATTTCATTTTCTAGAACTGCCTGTTACAGACTGCTTTCGCTGAATTTCTCATATTTATAACCCCGTTTCAGCCCATTTTGATGCCAACCTTCTTTCCTCGATTAAAAAAGTAGAATAAATTTTCTGTAGAAAGGGAGTTCTGAGGGTAATGAAGTGAACCACATAATGAATGACTTAGGGGTAGATACAGCAGGACAAGGGGCAGCAACTGACAACTGTTCCTTGGAAAAGAACTCCTGTAATATCATCTCAAGCAAATGGTGAGAGAGCCAGAGGACAGACTGAGACACCAGCTCAACACTGCTCCAGAAACAGATGACAGACACCTTTAAAGCAAGTAGACAAGTAGTTACAGACCAAGAAGCAATCTCCATGATTCCAAGAGATCTCCCTACTAAAAGCTGCTTATTGCCATGACTCCCACAAGTAGAAGGATCTGCCCAGTCTACACCAGAGTTGGCCTGGTAAGAGGAAATCTGGAGGCTGGTGTAGGCAGCTACTGTTACTAACCTTCTCTCCCTTACAAACTGATGTTAAACAGGTCAATCTTGGTTTTAATAACAAAATATGCAAGTTGGAGCCCATGCTACCATGTGTCTACTTTATACCCATTATCCTCCCAACTCACAGGGTTTGTTTTTTTCTAAGTTACCTTTTAGAAAAACACATTTACATGTGTTATTTGATTTCCTAGCAGGGTCTCAACAGTTTAAATTCACACATACAAGTCTCACTTCATTCCTTAACAAACTTTTGCTTGCAATCATAAGGCTTCTTTCCTGTGTGGATTATCTGATGCTGAAGAAGAGTAATACTTGCAAAGTTAAAGGTACCACATTCCTCACAATAGAACATAAACATTTTGAAGAGGTCCATAAAAACAGGCAAGAAAAACCCAACCTGGACCACACTTGAAACTGTAAGGATCCCAATTAATTTTCTTGAAGCTGAAGTAAATGATTAAGAGGAAGGAAAAGAAAAGCAAGTGATCAAATGAAATACCTAACTGCACCTTAAGATCTGGTGCTGTAAAACAAATTTAAGTAATTACATTGACACTTTGTTTGTTTTAATTAGTCCCACAGGGGGCCACCCTCTCAATTTGAGGGAAAGGCAGGCTGCCTTGGCATTGCTGCTCTGCACCTCAGCAGCCTGCCTTTAGTTAATGGTTCACCAGGAGACTTAAATTGCCTAAGAGTTGAATCTCTAAAATGAAAAATCAAAAAGTGACTGCTTTCTCACCAGGATGACTCTTATGATGTAAAATAGTGACGAATTTATTAAGAAATCTGTCACTCTCCACTGTGAACTGCACAATGTTGAGTGAAGGCTGACTGGGCAGTAGAGAGCTCCCCACACCTACTACATTTATAGGGTTGCCCTCTAACATGAGGTTTATGGACTTTCTCATGACTAGTAAGAATTATTCCTTGATTAAAAGTCTTTCCACATTGGTTATATATATAAGACCTCTCTCCACTGTGAATTCTCTGATGTCGAATAAGGTGAGAGCTTTGTCGGAAGGATTTCCCACATTCAGCGCACTCATAGGGTTTCTCTCCAGTGTGAATTCTCTTGTGTTGGATAAGGGATAAGCGTGCACTGAAGGATTTCTCACATTCATTGCACATGTATGGTTTCTCTCCAGTATGAATTCTCTGATGCTGAATAAACTGTGAATGCTGACTAAAGGCCTTGCCACACTCACTACATTCATAAGGTTTCTCCCCAGTATGAATTCTGTGATGCTGAATGAGAGAGGAGCGAACATTGAAGGCCTTACCACAGTCACTACACTTGTAAGGATTCTCTCCAGTGTGAATTCTTCGGTGGCGGATAAGGTGAGCACTCTGGCTGAAGGCCTTACCACAGTCGCTGCACTCATAGGGCTTCTCTCCATTGTGTGTTCTCTCATGCTTAATCAAGGTAGATATCTGTCCAAAGGTTTTCCCACACTCATTACACTCATAGGGTTTTTCACCAGTGTGACTCCTCTGATGCTGAATAAGATGTGAGCCTTGGCTAAAGGCCTTCCCACATTTGTGACACTCATAGGGTTTCTCTCCATTATGTACTCTCTGATGTTGAACGAGGGAAGAAAGCACACTAAAGGCTTTATCACATTCGTTACATTCATAGGGCTTCTCACCATTGTGTATTCTCTGATGGTGAATAAGATTAAAACTCTGGCTGAAGGCTTTTCCACACTCACTACATTCATAGGGTTTCTCTCCAGTGTGAATTCGCTGATGCTGAATAAGATGTCCCTTTTGACTGAAGGTTTTCCCACACTCACTACATCCATAAGGCTTCTCGCCAGTGTGAATTCTCTGATGCTGGATAAGGGATAGGCGAGCACTGAATGATTTTCCACATTCATTGCAAACATAGGGCTTCTCTCCAGTGTGAATTCTCTTATGTTGAATAACTTGTGAGCGCTGACTGAAGGATTTTCCACACTCATTACACCTATATGGTTTCTCTCCAGTGTGAATTCTCTGATGGACAATAAGGGTTCGGTTCAGGCCAAAGGACTTTCCACATTCATTACACTCATAGGGTTTTTCTCCTGTATGAATCCTCTGATGTTGAATGAGAGATAATCGTGCACTGAAGGCTTTGCCACACTCACTACAGTCATAAGGTTTCTCTCCAGAATGAATTCTCTGATGCTGAACAAGGTGTGACTGCCTGCTGAAGGTTTTCCCACATTCTTCACACTTGTAAGGTTTCTCTCCACTATGAATTCTCTGATGATGAATCAGATTAGAGCTATGACTAAAGGCTTTCCCACACTGATTACACTCATGAGGTTTCTCTCCTGTATGAATTTTTAGATGTTGAATATAAGATGAACGTATACTAAAGGCTTTCCCACATTCGTTACACTCAAAGGGTTTTTCTCCAGTGTGAATTTTACAATGCTGAATAAAGTATGAATGAGCACTGAACGTTTTACCACATTCCTCACATGTGTAGGGTTTCTCACCAGCATGAATTCTCTGATGTTTGCTGAGGACAGAGTGCTGATTGAAAGCTTTTCCACATTCACTACACTCATAGGGCTTTTCAACAACATGAATTCTTTGGTGCTGAGAGAGAGCTCTGTTCTGTCTGAAAGTTTTTCCACACTCAGTACACTCAAAGAATTTCTCTGGATTGTTAAGCATCTGATTATCACTAAGAACTGAACTCTTTCTAGGTATTTGCATAAACACATCTGTTTGACAGGCTCTTCTTCCTAAATGGAAACTCTGGAGGTTAATGATGTTCTTATTTTGCTGAAACTGTTTGACACATGAAACACTCTGATGGAGACTTGCCTCTCTAGCTACTCTAACATGTCTTGAAGGATGTGAGTCTGTAGAGCAGTTTTCCCCAACAACAATGAACTTCTGACACTTCTCTGCAGTGGGGGTTTTCACCTGTTTCACGGTCTCTGTTTGGAAATTGTTCCTCTGGGAGGATTTCTTACATCCTTCTACTACAGGTTTTCTCCAGCAATCCCCGAACTGTCCCTCAGTTTTATTCATCTCTTCAGGTTCCATGGAAATATTCCTTTCATGTTCTTCTGATTTTGCTTTCTGGGATTCCATTTCTTCAGAAATATCCTGCTTTGGAGTCAATTCCTTTTTTTCAATCCCAGAATCATAACCTGAAAGAATGAAAAACAATGAGTCAGTTATGTTTTACTATGAGAGAAAGAATTAGAGCATAAGCAGGAAAATTTAATATAAAACAAATATCTCCTAAGATGATACAGGGATACCCAGAATGCAAAAAAAACAGAAATAAACAAAATATGACCTCCCTGGGAAGAGGAGAGGAAAGAGTAGAGAAGAAGCTTGCTGTCAAAGCAGTGAAAATTGGCACAGGAAGGAAGGAAAGGAAGGAAGAAGGAAAAAAACCCAAGGTCAAAGGTTTACAACGGCCAACAGGCCAACCAGGAACAGATGAAGTAGGACAGCAAGACATGACCTCAGAGAAGTGAAGAGGGTGATTAGGAAAAAGACAGTGGAGGTTTAGAGTTTGCCATCTCTGCTGTTCATGTCATTGCTGCATACTTTGTAAACAAGGTATATTCTTATGGCTTACACAAAACAGGTATTAAAATACTTGTTGAAAAATAAATAAATGACATATGACTCATAATGAATGAGCTATACAACTGAGTAACAGACTATGAGCAAAACTATTTGATCTGGACAACCTGGTTTCACAGAAGCAAACCAGGAAAAATAGAAGAAAAGCAATCTACTCATTCAAATAGCTGGGGGCAGCACAAGGTAAAAAGACCAAAATCGATTCTATACCACACACTTCCTAGTGAATAAATATGGCCTAAAAATTTGGCTAAAATTTTGTGAAAAAATCTGCGCGGGGCGCGGTTGCTCTTACGCCTGTAATCCTAGCTCTTGGGGATGGCCGAGCCTGGAGGCGGGAGCGGGATTGCTCAAGGTCAGGAGTTCAAAAACCAGGGCCTCAGCAGAGCAAGACCCCGTCTCTACTATATAATATTTTTTTTGAATAGAAATAACTTGGCCAACTGGATTGCTATAAAAATATATAAAAAATTAGGTGGGCTATGGGTTGGGGTGCATGCTTGTAGTCCAGCTACTGGAGGCTGAGGCAGAAGTATCCCCTGCGAGCCCAGGTGAGGTTGGAGGTTGCTTGTGTGAGCTTAGTGCTGACGCCACGGCACTCATCTCTAGCCTGGACAAACAAAGCGAGACTCTTCTCTCAAAATAAAACAAACAAACAAACAAAAAAAAAATTTGTGAAAACTGATACAACTGAATTCTGTACCCAAAAAAGGAAGTTATTTTATATTTTGTTAATGTATTTTTTTTTATTCGCCATCTATTGCATGGGTGGGTACAGATTTTAAAGTTCAATAATATGGCCCTCATTTTCCCCCCGCCTCCCCCACAAGGTCTGAAGTCGTCCAGCATGTGGGGGGGGGGGGGTGGGGTGGGGGGTGGGGGGGGTGGGTGGGTCCATCCCCAGGGAGGGTGCCACATCTTCACTCATTTATTATATTATGTATATATCCCGGGGTCCCCTCTCCGCCCTCCTCCCAATACTCTATTACTGTAGTACCTATTTGACCATTATGGTTCTGGAAGGAAGTTTGTTTGTTTATTATTTAATTTATTGTATTTTATTATTGTATTTATTTGATTTTATTTTTTATTTTTTTGAGACTAGAGGGTCTCACTTTGTTGGCCCTAGTTGCTATTGATGTTTTTTAGTCTGCTCGTGGCCGTCAGTCTGGCTTCACAGCTTAACCTCTTAATCTCTGGTCGGCTCTCATGCGTATTCCTTATCTGCCTTCAGTTCCTCCCGGAGTATCTTGGGATCTTACAGGTGCATGCCCTTGTCCGCACCGTATGCCCAGTCTAATTTTTTGTTATATATTGATTTTTAGTGCGTCAATTAATTTTGTATTTCCTATTTTGTGGGTGAGGACGCGTGGTCTTCGCTCATGGCTGTTCGATACTCCTGATCCTTTGAGCAATCTGTCGTCGCCTCTGTGCCTCCCAAAGTGCCTAGGTATTTACAGGCTGTGAGCCACCGGCGGCCCGGGTCCTAGTCGATAGTTTCATTTTTTAAAAAACAAATAAAAATGAACCACTGAGTCACAAGAATACAGTCTGCAAGAAGGGCAACCAAGGTCAGAACAGTAAGAGGGTATCTCTGTGCTGAGATACCATAAAAGCAGGACAGAGTTCCCCGTTTTGTCAAGGGCAGTTGTTATGAGCTATAACGTGATGCTTACTGGGGACTGTACAACCAGAAAGGAAGACTGAACTGAAGTGATCAATGGAACAGGTCTAAAATTGGGCTAAGAAGTCTTAGATTTCAGTGAACTACTCCAAGTACTTTAGAGGGATTGATTTTTAGTATTCAACATATGAAAGGGAAAAAGCAAACTTCACAATTTACTCTGGAAACCCATGAGGAGTGCTCTGGATGACAAACATCTTGAATTTCTGGAATAAAAACTTCTGGGGTATCTGAGGAGTTCAGAGCCCTTAAGATCTCAGGACTAAAGTCTAAAAAGGTGATTCTAATCAAGAAGTGTTCTTTCATCAGGTAGGAAAGAGAATGAATGTGAACAAAATGAAAAACCACAGGACACAAAGTCATCTGTGAGCCAAGAAACAACATCGCACACTACAGTTCATGTCACCGTTTCCCTCAGATACTCAGTGCTCCCCTTGGATGCCTGTTTGTATTTTTTAATGAGGCAATAAAAAGATACTTGGGAACTCTATGTATAAGTGGTACTTGTCAGTGAAAGGGCATTTGACTGAGGTGATAAGGCCAGAGCACCCCCTAATGCTAAAAACTAGAAGTCTTAGATCTAGGGCTGTATAGTTTCTTTTGAGGCAATAACCTGGTTTTTGCCAGAGTTAGAGGATGCCCTGTTATTGGGTATTCTTAATTCGGGGTAGGATGTGGTAGTACCAGCCATTCTTGGTTTTAAACATTTTCGTTGATACCTCAGGTTTCAGGTTAAATTTTTGGTTTTTGGACAATAAACAAAAAACCTTCATAAGGGATGTAATAGTTTTCCATCAGGAGGTATAAAATGTCTGACTGTATCTCTTTTTGTGTTGTTAGCAGCCGATAATGATCATTATCTGGATTCACTTTTTAAATTTGGGATTGTAAAATATTGGTATTGTAATCGTCATTCCTTCATTTTTTAGCTGATACGTTTCCTCTATGAAGAGAAGTTAAACTTCTATTCATCAAGTTTTGTTATCCTGCGGTATAATAAATACATCTATTATAGGCAGAATAAACACTTGACCCTTCTATTTACCATTTTTCAGAATTCCTAAAATTCCTTAGAATTCCTCACAGGTGACCAATGAGTAGCAATTTGGTTTTTTTTGAGTCTCACACCAGCCTTAACAAGCCTAAGACCACTGTGGCAAGGGAAGGTGATCCAATGACAAGTTCTCTCCATAGTTTTTTATCTATAATAATTGACACTAAATCAAATATCAGAAAGCATGTGGGGGAAGGAAAAAAAAAAAAAGAAAGACCAAATGACAAGAAACCAAGACAGAAAATACATGATTAAAACAAACCCATAGGGGCTGGGTGTGATGGCTCACACTGGTAATTAGCACTTTGGGAGGTAATTAGCACTGGTAATTAGCACTATGCGAGATGGGAGGATCGCATAAGCCCAAGAGTTTGGCACAAGCCAAGAAAACACAGCAAGACCTTGCCTCTTAAGAAAAAAAAAAAAAAGGCCAAGTACAGTGGCTCACGTCTGTAATCCTAACACTCTGGGAGGTTGAGGCAGGAGGATCACTTGAGGTCAGAAGCTGAAGACCAGCCTGAGCAAGAGTGAGACCCTGTCTCTACTAAAAAAAAATACATAAAATTATCCAGGCAACTAAAAATAGAAAGAATTAGTTGGGCATGGTAGCACATGCCTGCAGTCCCAGCTACTCGGGAGGCTGAGGCAAGAGGATCACTTGAGTCCAGGAGTTTGAGGTTGCTATGAGGTAGGCTGACACCATGGTACTCTATCTCAGGCTACAGAGTGAAACTATCTCAAAAATAAAATAAAATAATTTAAAAAAATTATCGAGGCATAGTGGTACACACCTGTAGTCCCAGCTACTTGAGAGGCTGAGGCAGGAGAATTGCTTGAGCCCAGGAGTTCAAGGTTGCAGTAGGCTATGATTATGCCACTGCACTCTAGCCTGGGCAACAGAACAAGACCCTGTCTCTAAAAATAAAACCACAATGAGACCAAAAAATTATCGAGGCATAGTGGTACACACCTGTAGTCCCAGCTACTTGAGAGGCTGAGGCAGGAGAATTGCTTGAGCCCAGGAGTTCAAGGTTGCAGTAGGCTATGATTATGCCACTGCACTCTAGCCTGGGCAACAGAACAAGACCCTGTCTCTAAAAATAAAACCACAATGAGACCAGGCATGGTGGCTCATGCCTGTAATCCTAGCACTCTGGGAGGCCGAGGCAGGAAGATTGTTCAAGGTCAGGAGTTCAAAACCAGCCTGAGCAAGAGCGAGACCCCGTCTCTACTAGAAATAAAAGAAATTAATTGGCCAACTAAAAACATATAGAAAAAATTAGTCAGGCATGGTGGTGCATGCCTGTAGTCCCAACTACTCGGGAGGCTGAGGCAGGAGGATTGCTTGAGCCCAGGAGTTTGAAGTTGCTGTGAGCTAGGCTGACGCCATGGCACTCTACCCCAGGCAAAGAGTGGAACTCTGTTTCAAAAAAAAAAAAAAAAAACCCACAATGAGACACCACTACACACCTATCAGAATGGATAAAATTAAAAAGACTGACCACACCAAGTGCCGGTGAGAATGTGGAAGAACTAGAACTCTCATACACTGCTAGTGGGAATAAAATTAGCACAATTACTTTAGAAAACATTTTGGCAGTTTTTTTTTTTTTTTTTTTTTATTTTTTTATTTTATTTGATTTTTTTTTAGGCTGGTCAAGTGGAGCAGTGGGAGTGGAGAAGGAACAAAGGAATCTGTAACTGGTTGTGATCAATTAGTTGTAAACACCACTGCACTCGGACCAACCATTTTGGCAGTTTTTTAAAAAGTTAAATTCATCCCTACCATGTAATCCAGCCATTCTACTCCTAGGTATTTGCCAAAGAGAAAAGGAAACGTATGGCCACAAAAAGATTTGTAGACAAAGGTTCACAGCAGCTTTATTTGTATTAATCAAAACTGGAAACAACTCAAATAAATGTCCATTAACAGAGAATGGATAAATAAGTTGTAGTATATTCATATAATACTATTCAGAAATAAAAACAATTATTGATATACAACATAAATGAATCCAATAATAATTATATTGAGTAACAAAAGCCAGATGAAAAAGAATATATGCTCCATTATTCCAGTTATATAAAACTGTAGAAAATGTAACCTCTAGTAACAGAAAACAAGTCAATAATTGCTTCAGGATAGTGGTGGGAAGGAGTCAGAGAGACATGAGAAAATTTTGGGGGGTGATGGATATGTTGGCTGTCTGGATTGCAGTGATGGTTTCCCATGTGTATACAGATGTCAGAATATATATATATAGTATATATAGAATCACACACTTTAAACACCTGTAACATATTATATGCTAATTTATACTTCAATAAAGATACTTCTTTAAAGAAAATGAATAAGTAAGAGTATGGGATCTAGACCATTCTGTCAGGGATTCAACCTTGCTCTGTCCCTGGCCAGCTGTGTGATCTTAGGCTAGCAACTTAACTTCTCCATGCCTCAGTCTCCTGAGCACCAACTCTGCAGGGATGGTAGCAGATTGGATAAATTCATTACACCAGCACAGTACCAGGCATGCTCTAAGCACAAATGACCAGCCAATGTTAGCTGTATGGCAGCTATGCTTACTGTTTACATGCCCAGGTCCCTACTACACAGGAAGAAACCCTTTCTAACTCTGTTTGCCCAAGGCCCAAAATCTGCCTGAGATGTTCTGAGTGACTATGAGTAGAAGTGAGAGATGTAGCAGGAGGCTCTCTCTCCAAGTGCTATTTCCAAGCAGCCATTGCAAAGCTAGCCATCAAGGCCTCAGAAGGAGTGGGTGACATGAATGTGAGAGGACTGGGAGCCAGTTGCCAGGGAAAAACACCCGAGTTCTTTTCAGGGGTTGAATGAGCATTTGATAGGGTAAGGAAAACATAAATCCATTTATAGACAGATAACAAGAGCCAGTAACAGCAAGAAAAGAGGAGAGAAAGAAGATGGAGAAGGAAAGCAAAGCCCTGAGGGTGACAAGAGATTTGGTCTGGAGCTTGCAGAAGGGCCCATTGATGCCACAGCGCCTGCTAACAGAAGCAACACAGAGTGGGGAGCAGACTCACCTTCACTCTTGTGTCTCCAGCTCCCTGCAATTCTCGGTGAGTGTGGGGTCCATGGCTCTTTGCCCTGCTCCAGCCTGGAAATAACATCAGGTTTGGAACCCCGAAGTCCTGCTCCAGGAAAAGGAAGGAAAACCTGATAATGTATCACAGGTCCAGGGCAGGATGGACCTGTGGCCTGGGCCTGCATTCTGGCTGTGACGTCCCCTGCTACCTGGCTTCTAAACCTGGGAGACAGACACAGGCCTCTGTCCAAGCTGAAGAAAGGTCAAATCCAACTCTTCTGGGGGGGCCACAAACAGGACAGAGTCAGAGCCTAAACACATTACAGCAGCATACTTATAGTAGGAGGTATTGATGCCCAGCAGAAGAGCTAAAGGGAAGCATCACATTCTAGTACAAGGCAGACAGTGCTCTGAAATCAAATGAATTCAAATCCCAGATCTGTCACCAACAGGCTGCATAAACTTAAGAAACTGACAGTATTTGTCAGCCTCAGGTTTATCTATAAAATGTGTATCCTACCACCAGCCTTCAAGATGCCTGAAGATTGGGTGAGCATTGTGGCTCACGCCTGTAATCCTAGCACTCTGGGAGTCCGAGACAGGAGGATTGCTTGAGGTCAGGAGTTCAAGACCAGCCTCAGCAAGAGTGAGACCCCATCTCTACTAAAAGTAGAAAGAAATTAGCCAGACAACTAAAATTAGAAAAAAAAAAATTAGCCAGCCATGGTGGTGCACACCTGTAGTCCCAGCTATTTGGAAGGCTGAAGCAGGAGCAACAGTTGAGCCCAGGAGTTTGAGGTTGCTGTGAGGTAGGCTGATGCCATGCCACTCTAGCCCAGGTGATAGAGAGAGACTCTGTCTCAAAAACAAAAACAAAAAACCAACAAGATGCCTGAAGATTAATTTGGGGATATGAATATGCTAAGTGTGCAATGAATGACATTCTCCTTCCAAAGAAACTGGAGAAGGTCTCAGCACCACCCATCCCTATCTCTATGGAAACCAGGCTTGCACCAGACCAGGGTCAAAATGCCCAGTCTTTAGCCCAGGAGGTGAGGAGCCTCTGAGCCCCAAACTTAGTCCTCAAGGTTGTTCATGGAGGAGGAAGCCCAGGAGCTGAGTCTCAGGGAGGAAACTTACCTAGTGAGACCAGGTTCTCATAGGTCTCTAGCATCACATCCCTGTACAGGCCCCTCTGAGTGGGCCCCAGATGGCCCCACTCCTCCTGGGAGAGGAACACAGCCACATCTTCGAAGGAAACCAAGACCTGGAATGAAAAGATCTTGCTGCAACCCCAGGGTCAGGCCCATGCTGGGCCCTGGGGTATGGGGTCCTAGGCTCAGGACTGGTAAATTCCTCTGAGTACATGCTCCTGTCTTCCCCACTAGAGTGAGCTGGCAGGCACCACACTAGCTTATCTTGGTGCCCCTGACCCTCTCCTCTACTGTGCCTGGGAAGACACAGTGGGGACCATATTTCAGGAACTTGAACCCAGGCGCTAAGGACATTGGTGGAGATAAGGAGCTGTCTACCCTCAAGGACCAGCCCCTCATAGAACTGTGGAAAGACTCCCACCAAGAAAGGGCTGAGGCCACAGGGAGAATCTCCATAGGACCACTTACCTGGAGCCTGCCAGGAAGGAGTTGCTTGACAGCCATCGCTAGGTCTCTGAACTTGTCCCAAGAAGGTGGGCAGTGCTGCAGGGAAAGGGAAAGGTGGCCTCTGAGACTATATCCTCTCCCTAATTCCCCACCCCATCCCTCCATCCCTCCAGAGTAAGGCCTCTCTGAAGCCCCCAGTATGACAAGATCCCAAGGCTACCACATGAAAGCCAGGACCTAGACAGTGCACTTGGCCAGGGTAGACCATGGGATGCATCTCAGGCCCACCTATGAGGTCCTCAGCAGAGGACAACACACCAGCCTCCTGCTATATGGCAGTGCACAAGTGAAATGAATGGGAAAGTTGACACTTATATGTGACACAGGCACAATGCCTATGTCAGGTGATGACAAAGGATAGAAAGAACAGAAGGCAGCCATTGGTGGTAGTCATTTATACAGGACATCGAGGGAAGATGCTTCTGATAAAGCAGTATCAAATCAGAGATCTGGATGGGGTGAAGATGGGCACCACGTGGACCTCAGTGAGGTACATCTCAGGCAGGGGGAGGCACAAGTGCAAAGGTCCTGAAATATAAGCCCACTTGTGTTCACAGAAGGGCAAGGAGGCCAGAGAGGCTGAAACAGAGTTGGGACAGTGAGAGAGGAGGGTGGGTACCTTCTAGGAAATTCTGGAGAGAGTGATATGACTTGAAATGTGGCCTCACCAGCTGCTGCTTTGGGAACAGACTGGGAACAGCAGAGGGCCAGGGGAAGGGAGGAGGAGAAACAGGAAAAACAGTTGGAAGGTTCTAAGCAATAATCCAGCTAGGATGACAGTGTCTTAGACCAGACTGGTGGTGACAAAGGTAAAAAGAAGTGGTCAGATTTTGGATGCATTTCAAAGTCAACAGGATTTGCTGATGGATTACATATAGGATGACACACCAAGATTTTTGGCCTGAGCAACTGAGAGGATGAAATTTCTATTTACTGGGATGAGTAAGACTGCAGGAGGGTCTGAAGGGTAAAATTTTAAAGTTGTGTTATACATGTTATGTTTAAGATACCTGTTAGACTTACAAGTAGAGAATTAGGGCATTTGGACATACAAGTCCAAAATTCAGGAGAGAGGAAGACTGGCTAGGTATACACTGTGAACTGTCAGTATACAGATGACATTTAAAACGACTGATCTGGTTTTATTTCAGCGCTGACAGGTGATATCAGGTGTCACTCCCAGAAAAATCTTCCCAACTGGCCTCTATATTCACAGCCAGTCACCTCCCCACAGCACCCTCCATGAAAACAGACCCCTTAGTTTAGCCAAGGAAGAAATGTGTCCTTTTCCCCTGACCCAGATCCCCTGGCTGTAGGTGACTGCAAGGTCCAGTTCTGGTCAATAAGATGTTAAAGGAAGTTTGCCCAGAGGCTTCTAGGAAGGACTTTTCTTCTCTCATGACAAAGGAAAACAAGGATAACTAAACGCCTATGTCTGGAGCGAACAGGAAGGAAACCAAGAGAACCCTGAAGACGTATTTAACGCCCTGATGTCCCATCTTCATAACTTAAGCTATGTTGGATGGACATTCTCTGACTGGCAACTGAACTCAAGCTTACTGAGGCACAGTCCACTGGATTCATCACTCCAGGATCTTCACAGACTCTCCAGCTGGGCACACCTGGGTCAAATGCAGCCTCTCAGTTCTCAAACAGGACTTTCCTTTAACTGCCCTCCTCCTGCTCACACCCTTTGTGTATCACAAGTGGTCCTTCTTAATGTACTCTGCCTTTACACCCTGACTCATTTAGGGGACATGTAACACCAGTGTTAGGAGTGTAGGCTCTGAACACCAACAGGACTGCATTCCAATCTTGGATACACCGCCTACTAATGCAGAAGTAGCAGGTAAGTGACTTGAGTTGCTCTACATACCATAAAAAGGCATTACCCCTACCTCTACCTAACATTACCCCTTACCTTAGGTAACTATTTTGAGAAATAAGTGAGAATATGTAGAAAGTACTCAGCATAGTGCTTGCAAACCGCAAACAAAAAATACTAAGTCTTAATTATTATCAGTAAGTCCATTTTTATTGAGTGCCTACTGAACGAATGCTGGGCTTGTTCTAGCAGATGTGTGGGATGTCATCCTGCCTTTTCCCTTCCCTCTCATCTTCCTCCAGCAACCGAGATTCATTCACTGCACAGCTTTACCCTTTCACTTAATCTATTCCTGCTAAGTGAAATGTACTTTTCTCTCTTCTGAAAAAAAAAAAAAAGCACAATTTGGCTTATCCCCCTGACTATTCCCAAACTCCCTGCCTCTGTGAGGCCATTTTATCCATCGGCTGCCCTGCCTCAGTGTGCCCGAGAGCGTGGAACACCACGAGAGTGCAGGGACCTGCACGCCTCACCGTCTCCCCACCGGCCTCACATCGCCCGCGCCCAGCCCGCCCCTCAACCAACACAAACTGGGCGCTCGACGCTCTGATGCCGCCCTCAGCGCGTCCTCCCCAGCTCACCGAGGCTGAGTCCTTTGGCCCCTCCGAGTCCAGGCACCATACCCGCCCGCCCCAGCGCCGCTCCGGCCCGGGACTCACTCTGGTGGGCCACGGAGCAGAAGGAGAGCGAACGCCAGTACTCCAGCGTCGGAGTACCAGACCCATCCGACCGGAAACGGTTGGTCTGAAATTCCGCCCTGTCCTTCAGCTCACCAGCCAATCGAATCCCAGGGTTCTGTAGGTCCGCTCTAGGCGGCTCGGAGTACTCTATGCTCTGGCGGCCCTGGTCTTTTAGTACCTCTACCAACTCTCCCGCTGGACCTGCGGGCCGGTGGGCGCAGGCCTTCCGCGGAGGGACTGTGGCTGGAGAAGGGGAGAGTAGACGATCTGAGGCTCTGGATCCCGCCCTTCCTGTCCTAGTACGTAACGCCGCCCAGTATCCTCTCTCGGGCGCCTTTTCCTCCGGCTCTGAGTAGTAATTCAGCTCGCGTCTGTGCATAGCACACTATCGTATACGTCATCGTATTCTAACGTATTAAGCTTCTCATGTATTAAATCACTTAACTTAATGAAGGAACCCCCACAAGAGGGCTTCTGTCCTCACTATAAATGGGGAAAACGAGCCACAGAGAGGTTCAATACCTATTCTAGTGGAGCTGGAGTTTGAAAACTAACCACCTGCTGCTGAGATGCATTTGCAGGAAGGCAGGGCAGTGGTGTGGTGAGATGAGGGGTGAAGTCAGATGAGACTCAGGCAGGTGTAAAAGAAAATCAAAATCTCAGGGGCAATCCCCCCAACTCCTTATGCAAAAGAGAAGGTGAAGGCCTCAGGCACCGTGAAGAACAGGCCCCACAGATCATTCATTAAGGAAATTACCTGCTGACCTCCCATAAACAAGGACATGCAAATTATAACTATGTGTAACACGGAAAACCAAAGCCTGTTGTGATACACGCTAATAATGAATTACAAGTTTATCTTTACAGAACTGGAGACAAGACAGAATCAGACATTCTTTCACCTACCCAGGAATATCTGCATAATTGATTCTTCCTTCACTCCCTTTTTCTTACATTCCCCTTATTTTAAGTAAAATGCAGGTTCCCTGGGCCTCACAAGAATGTAACCTTTGCTTCATCAGCACCCCCTATCCTTTTCCTTTCTCTCTGTATGCCTTTAAATGTTGAAGCTCTCAAATTACCCTTTGGAAAAACAACCACAGGTCGGCTTGTGGTTTGTATTTCCCCTGTATGTCAGTTTGGCTTAATAAATCTCTTGATTGAGATTTTTGCCTCAGTCCCTTATTTGGGTCAACATCAGTAAGGAATGCGGGCCAGGTGAAGGCTGGCCCACTGAGAGAATAATAGGATTAGGAGACAAGTCACAGAAGAAATAGAGGGAGGGAGGACCCACCACAAGAATGGAAAGGAAAGCAGGTGGCTTGTCTTCAGCTGGACAGTGGTGTTAATTAAAAAAAAAAAAAATCCAAAGTTTACATTTTTTTAAAAAAACGAAAGTTTCATTTCATTTCTTGTGAAGGGGTCTTAACTTGCAGCAGTCATTATGACAAGCAGGGAAACACTACTCTGTTCACAAGCCAGTAGCATATGTTTCCAGGGAGTGACAAAAAGGAACAGGATTTTATACTGAGTGGTGTTACAGCTCAACTGAGTCCCTTGCTCACCAGCCAGTGAAGGCCAATATAATGAGACAGCAGGGGTTGCAGCAGAAAAAGAGTTTTGTTTTGCAAGGCACTAAGCAAAGAGATGGGAGTAATTTCTCAAATCCATATCCTTGAGAATTTGGGGGCCAAGACATTTAAGGATGGTTTGGCAAACCAAGAGCTGGGCAATTGGGTCTGCCAACTGGCAGGAGATGAACTCATAGAGTTGGAATGAAGAAATTATCTTCTTAGTTGGGAGGTTTCCTGGGTAGGGGCTTTCAGGGCTGTTAGATCCCTTCCCATACCTGTCCATGTTGGCATCAGTAGGTCCCCAGGATACAGAGTCTGAAAAACATCTCAAAAACCAGTCTTAAGATTTACAACAGCAGTTATCCATAGAATCACAAGTATTGGATTTACAACTGCAGTGTTTTCTATACAAGTAGTGGGGGTGTTACCGGCAAGTGATTGTCCTCAGTCCTTGTATTTGGAGACAAGGAATAGAAACCAAGCAGCAAAGCAAAGTGAAAGAACTTTATTAAGCAAGTATACCTCCAGACTTGGAGGAGAGTATCAAGAAAGATTAGCAAGCAATATTACACTCCAGAAGGGGGCAGGAACGGGCATGTGTCCAAGCAGACAGTGGCACTGGGGTCTCTCTAGGTCTCTTTTTCTTTCTTCTGACTTCCTCATTCTTGTGCTACTGTCCCACCGGCCAATGAAAATTTTGTCTCCTCCCATCAGGCGGGGAAATTTTTTTTTTTTGAGACAGAGTCTCACTTTGTTGCCCAGGCTAGAGTGAGTGCTGTGGCATCAGCCTAGCTCACAGTAACCTCAAACTCCTGGGCTTAAGAGATCCTACTGCCTCAGCCTCCTGAGTAGCTGGGACTACAGGCATGTGCCACCATGCCTGGCTAAATTTTTGTATATATATTTTTAGTTGGTCAATTATTTTCTTTCTATTTATAGTAGAGACGGGGTCTCCCTCTTGATCAGGCTGGTTTTGAACTCCTGCCCTCAAGTGATCTGCTCGCCTTGGCCTCCCCAGAGTGCTGGGATTACAGGCATGAGCCACTGCACCAGGCCAGGCAGGGAAATTTTTTACTTTATTTGTTCAGACCCATATCTGTCATGGCTCCCAAAATCTATTGGGGGGCAACCTGCAATGCTAATTTATCGTAATGATGGTATAATAAGGTCAGAGTCACTTGAGGACACTCTTGTCCTCTATCTGTGCAGGTGCCTCATGTACCTTGAGTAGGGGAACAACTCTTAGCAAGAGCTTTCTTGCTATTAAATAATCAATTTAGACATCAAGAATATAGTATTAAGTTATATTGGAGGAAAATGTTTTTCAAAAAACCTTTAAGATAGGCTGGGTGTGGTGGCTCACGCCTGTAATCCTAGCATTCTGGGAGGCCAAAGCAGGCAGATCACTCAAGGTCAGGAGTTCGAAACCAGCCTGAGCAAGAGTGAGACCCCGTCTCTACTAAAAATAAAAACAAATCAATTGGCCAACTAAAAATATATAGAGAAAATTAGCCAGACATGGTGGCACATGCCTGTAGTCCCAGTTACTTGGGAGATCGAGGCAGGAGGATCACTTGAGCCCAGGAGTTTGAGGTTGCTGTGAACTAGGTAGGCACTCTAGCCTGAGCAACAGAGTGAAAGTCTGTCTCAAAAAAAAAACCAAAAAAAAAAACCTTTAAGATAAAACATTCTAGTATCAGGCCATAACAACAGAAGGGAAAAAATAAGTACAGGAGCCAATAAAAAGTTGAAGGTGAGAGTTAACATCCCAGCATTTTTTTTTTTTTTTTTGAGACAGAGTCTCACTTTGTTGCTCAGGCTAGAGTGAGTGCTGTGGCATCAGCCTAGCTCACAGTAACCTCAAACTCCTGGGCTTAAGAGATCCTACTGCCTCAGCCTCCCAAGTAGCTGGGACTACAGGCATGTGCCACCATGCCCAGCTAATTTTTTCTATATATATACTAGTTGGCCAATTAATTTCTATTTATAGTAGAGATGGGGTCTCGCTCTTGCTCAGGCTGGTTTCAAACTCCTTACCTCAAGCGAGCGATCCTCCCGCTTCAGCCTCCCAGAGTGCTAGGATTACAGGTGTGAGCCACCACGCCCAGCCCATTCCAGCCTTTTTAAGGGGATAAAAATCTGAAATCAGTAAGACATGGAAGAAGTTGACCTTTTAAGATATGAGTTTGAAAATTATTTTTTAATTAAAAAAGAAACAGTTATAGAAATAATATGTCATGTAATTTCATTAAGAGCAAATTACTATTTTAAGAAAATTTTGTTGTTTTTATCCAAAAATTTCCCTTTTACACTTGAGCCCAGGAGTTTGAGGTTGCTGTGAGCTAGGCTGATGCCACAGCACTCTAGCCTGGGCAACAGAGTGAGACTCTATCTCAAAAACAAAAAACTGTCTCTTGCTTTCATCCTTCAATTGTGGGAAGACAAGAACCAAGGAGTTGATCAGAATCAAGGAGTCACACATTTGGTGCTGTGACTTGGATTTCAAGACTTAAGGTATGTTTTCCCTTAAAATTTCTGCTCTCATCTGGACTTTGTTTTATGGAACATTTGCTGCTGTTGGAGCACATGCTTTGCCCTTGTCCTGAGAGACCTTGTTGTTCCTGTATGGAGAAGGCCCAGCCTTCTGGCATAAGGGATGCCAAGCAGGGCCCTGGGATTCTGGATTTGTGCTTTGTTTCTTACTTAGTAAAATGCTTATGAATGCTAGGTGAATACCACCCCTGGGAGAGGTATTTGGGAACATCCATGGTTCTTTTGGATAGTACAGGTCGAGACTGCTGAGGGTCAAAGAGGAAGTCTGGACGAGTTTGGGACAACCCCCTCCCCTGCTACTTGTGAGCGCCATGGTCCTGTTAAAAGACTGCAAGAGGAGATGCTAAACCATCACAGACCATAAATCTGGCATAAGCCTGTACAGAACATGGACACATGGGAACTGAGGTGATAATTCTGGAAATCACCCATGAAGCAGGCAAAAGGGGAGGCTGTGGTAAGGCATGCTAGCCCACATTTCAGGTTGGCCCACAACGCGCCAGGGTAATGCCTATGCGAGGAGGGACACCTCCTCCCAGGCATCAGGACAGGTAGGGGGATGCCAACAATCCTGTGCCCTTTTCTCAAAAGGGGAGTCAAGCAACTCAGCACTCCCAGGCATCACCTCTCAGGTATAGTCTCTAACATTCCTTAGTACCTGCAAAACAAACAGATAACCTTTCCCATAACACTGTCTGCCACAGGCTAGGAGGTGCCTCACATACAGGCCTTCAGGGCACTAAGGGAAAGCAGGGATTTGTGTAAGAATTATAGATTAGATGCAGTGTATATAGGAAGCTCATTGTATAAAGGAAGGGATAATAAAGTGCATAGTTAAGCCAGTGACCTATACAATAAGAACAACCCAGGAGGCCACAGAAAACCCTGTCCTCTTCCATGAATGGCTGGTGGAGGGAGTCAAGAAGTTTATGAACATGTACCCTTAGTCCTCAGAGGGGCAGGTATTCCTGGGAACACATTTCATTAACCAGTCATCCTCTCTACAGGAGCTTGACATTTCAAGGAAGCTTCAAAAACTGGCTATGGGACTCCAAACCCCAACCAATCAGCTCACAAAGAAGGCAAATGAGGTGTTTAATAACCAGGAATGTGAGAGAAGAAAGAGCAGGAAAGGGAGAAACATGGAGACAGGAAACAGGCCCAACAGATTTTGGCTGTGGCCCCAGCTTTCCAGCCACCTCCAGGTTGCCCAAGGGAAAAGCCACTGGAGCAGGTCATCATTGTGGAGAAATGGGACGTTAGAAAGCTAAGTACCCCAACTCGACTGGCAAAGAAAGAAACTCCACCAAGGACCCCCAGGACGCCTTGCCCAGCCTGTGGAAAGCTTGGACACTGGAAGAGGGACTGTCCCCAGGCCTGAAGGGGACTGGGATCAGACCTATCCCCTCTGCTCTAGCTGGCCTCCCCAAGGACAATCAACATCAGGGGGCTGGAGCCTAGGGCAACTCTGAACATGGCAAGTAAGATTGTTAGTTTTCTTGTAGACACAAGGGCCACCTACTCTGTGTTGACCTCTTATGCAGGACCTCTCTCTCCCATTTCCTGTCGGGTTATTGGAACAACAGGTGAGACCAAACAAAAACTTTTCACACCTCCACTGTGCTGTTTGTGGGGTGACCTCCTTTTCACCCATCAGTTTTTGGTAATGCCTGAATGCCCTACTCTCTTACTGGGATGGGCTCTTCCTTTCAAAATGGGGTGGAAAGATCTGTCTAGGTGGCCAAATCTCTTTCCCTATCGTAGTTCTCAAGGAGAGAAAGTTGGAACAACAATTAGATCCTAGGTTTCTTCAACTAGTTGATCCTGTGGTATGGGCTGGGGAAGTCCGAGGACAAGCCCAAAATGCTCAGCCTGTTAAGATTTGACTTAAAGACCCTATAAATAATTTTGTCTAATTCAAAAGTTACTTATAAACTGATTCAAAATAGAGAGTTGGAGAATTAAAGCAATAAGGAGCCAGTAAGTAGGGGAGAGAGATGTGAAGAAAGTTAAGTATATGACGACATTATGTTTAATAAGGTAAATAGAGAATAATTTTGTATGAGAAAAGATTTTATAAATTTTTGTCCTAAAACAAACTGACTAGTTATTTAAGAAATGAAAATTTAGTACAAAACATAAAGTCCAGGCATGTTGTAGGCAGTCTGTGTAAGTTGTGATAAGGTTTGTGAAAGAGAATTTAGAAAGAAAATTTGTATGTGATCAAGTTGGCTACAATTGGAAAGAATTTTTAGTTAAAACAACAAGGAAAAAGTCCCAGCTAGTCATTTGTCCCCATTGTGAGAAGGTCCCCTATATTATAAAAATACTTGAAAACATGAAACAAGGGAATGGTGGAACCTCACTATTGGAACAAATCTTTGGGTCCCTCAGAGGATAGCTGGGATCTTGGCTAACACCAATTATATCAGCCACAACTGTAATAGTGATGGTCCTAATATTAGGCTGCTGTGCTTTTAATTTTAAATTTGTCTCTTCCAGACTACAACATTCCCAGACAAAGCTTCTGGTGATGCAGGGTTTTCAGTTGATTCCCACAAGTAATGAGTCCCTAAATGCTTTAGATTTAACCACACAGCATGTACCAACACAGGCCCTAACCTTGACTCTTCTGACAGGCAGAAAGGTTATGGGACCTGGACCCAGTTTTGCCCCCATACAGCAGGAAGTAGTTATAGACAAGGAATCAATGCCCATAACCCCTGAAAGAATTCAGGGGCCCAAATCCTTGAGGGGGAAACGTTAGCTTGGTAGGAAATAAGACATGAACAGAGGAGGTACGGAACAGGCTGTGTAAACAAATGGGATGCTGAGTAAGAAAACTCACTGCAGGATTAGGTGGATGCAGAGACCCCAGTGCCACTGTCTACTGGGGCATGTGCTGCTCCTACCTGCCTCTGGAGTGTCTATTGTTTGCTGATCTTTCCTGGCAGTCTGAATCAACGTTTGGAGGTGCACTTGCTTTATAAACTTTGTTGCTTGCTGCTTCAAAACTGTCTCTTGCTTTCATCCTTCAATTGCGAGAAGACAAGAACTGAGGAGTTCAACAGCTGCTAACACCAGGATGCACATACTGATATATGTAGGAGTAAAGGTGCATCATGTCTGCAACTTAGTCTTAGGGGAAAATGGCTGTATATCTATAGAAAGGGAGGAAGAGAAGAAAATGATAAGGCAAATGTGGCAAAAATGTTAACCAGGGAATCTGACTGAAAAT